TCAAACTTTACACATCACACTTACTTTGTTAAAGAATAACAAAGAATAATGTCCCGTCTCTCCTTCCCCAGCTCCAGGCAACCAGTACTGCCCCTCCCTGGGGGTGTCTCTGTGAACTTGACTGTTCTAGGCATTTCACAGAAGAGGAGTCACACAGCATTGGTGGTCCTCCTTGTCAAGGTTCTATCTCCATGATGTCTCCATCTGTTTGTCTGACTAGCTGCAGTGGGAGAATACTCAAAAACTGTGTGTACTAAGCTGTGCAAAGGTTTTCTTCCTCTTATTTGCTAACAACTATTTATATAGTGTTTACATAGTTCAGGTATAAGAAGTAACCTAGAACACTGGGTGGTGGTGGCTCATGCCTTTAAGCTCAGCACTTTCGAGGTAGAGGCAGGGGAATCTCATTGAGTTTGAGGCCAGCCTGGGCTAGATAACAAGGTTCCAGAAAAAAAAAAAAAAAAAAGTAGCCCAGAAAACATTTAAGGTGCATAGAAAGCTTTGTATAGGTGGTGTCGATACGGAGGGCAGCTACCTGTTTCTTTGTTGAGTGACTTATTAATGTAGACTCTACAAGGTTCATTCATATTGAACCATGTGTCAGGATATCCTAGCTTTTAAAGACAGAGCAATGCTTCATTATATGTTTACACATTTATCAGTGGTGAGCACTGGATTGATTTCACCTCATGGTGAATTATGTTGCTATGAACACTGATATACAAATCCCCAATTATCAATTGATTGGAGAGCACGTACCTAGCAATAGAAACTGCTGGGTTGTCTGATAATTCTATGATTCAGGTTTTGACCGTGCAGATACTGTTTTCAAAATAGTTTTACCATTTTTACCCAAAACTGTGCAAGGAGCTTCAGTTTCTTCACACTGTAAATGTCTTCTTTCTCCCTCTTCCTCCCTGTCTCCCTCTCTCTTCTCTCTCTCCCTTTCTTCCTTATCATCCTACTAGGTTTTAAGTAATGCATCTAAGAGATTTTAATTTTCTGGTCTCTTTATCCTTTCATGTGCTCATTGGTCATTTGTACATCTCCTTCCGAGAAAGTCTATTCAATTCCTTTGGCAATTTTTATTTTAAACTTAAGGTCTTTGGTTTTGGGTGTGAGTTGCATGAGTTCTCTTTACATATTTTGAATATATGATAACCTGTGTCATACATATCACTTAAAATTCTTTTGTTACATGGATTTTTGTTGTGGTTACCATTCTTTAATGCATAAAAGCTTTTAAGTTACATTTTATTTATTTTGCAGACTCGTGAGTGTGTGTGTGTGTGTGTGTGTGTGTGTGTGTGTGTGTACATATGTGCCATGGTGCTCCCATGGAGGTCCAAGAACGATTCTCATGAGTCAGTTCTCTCCTTCCACCATGTAGGTGAAAGGGGTTGCACTCAGGTTGCTAGGTCTCTTTTTACCCACTGAGTCATCTTGCCAGGCCCCAAAATCCACATTTTTATGTATTTAAACTTATCAAATTTTCTCTTGTTACTCTTTGGTTGCTGTCATATTTTTTTTTCTTGGATCCTACTTAGCCCATCTTCTTAGATACACTGAAGCCTTCTGTATTTGTGGCCTGGGGTTCCTGTGATGACCTTCTTGATAAGGGTTCACTTCATACACTTAGAAATTGGGAGAAAATGTTATTGCTTGGTAAATAGCAGATGGTTGAATAGATGAATTGATGCATGAAGAGGGAGTCCATCCACACACAGGCAGGTCTCTGTGTATCCCTGGTTATTCACAGTTCTGAGACTCTCAAAGAAATGAGTGTATGTGGAGTTCTGAGCATCCTCTATTGGGCCCAAGGAAGTTAGCAAGAATGCCATCGTGTTGTGGAATATTACTTTAACTATGTAAAGATGTGTTACATTAGTTTATGCAGAATATTTAACCGTGGAAAGGTGTGTTACATTTGTTTATGCTGCATTTGTTTAATGATGTAAAGATGTGTTACTGTTTAACCTTACCTGCCTAAGGTACCTGATTGGTCTAATAAAAAAGCTGAACAGCCACAAGCGAGGCAGTAGAGGGATAGGTGGGGCTGGTGGGAAGAAGACTAAGAAGAAGGAATCTAGGCTCAAGAATGAGAAGTAGAGAATGAGGGAGAAAAAGAAGGAGACTCCTGGGGCCAGGGCAGTCAGGCAGCCTTCAGCCAGCCAGACATAGAGTAAGCAGAGAAGTAGGATGTATAGAAGGAAAGAAAGATAAAAAGCCGAGAGGCAAAATGTAGATGAAAAACAGGTTAAGCTAAGCTATAAGAGGTAGTGGGACAAGCCTGTTGACTTATAAAAATCGATTTGATTTGGCTCATGGATCTGGAATGGCATGAGTCTGAGACCGGCACCTGCTTAGCTTCTGGTGAGGCCCATTTGCTGCTTCATACATGGTGGACAGCCAGAGGAAACTCCATAGGAAAGATCACACGGTGAATGAATGAGAGAATGAGAAAGGACAGAGGGAGCTGAGCATGGTTGGTAATACACACTCCCATGCTAACAGATCTAGTCTCACAAGAGCAAGAGCTCACTCCTGTGAAAAAGGTATTTTCCCCTTCTAATGACCGAATCACCTCTTACAGGCCTCACTCTCTCTCAACCAAAATTTGACACTGGTTTTCCAAAGGACAAGTGGTCTGTCTGTGAGCTAGAGGCTGAGACCTACTTAATGTGAGACAGGTAAGAAAGGAACATCAAAGTTCTGCCCACCACCCCTACCACTTTAGCTGCTTCTGAGGAGAAAAAAAATCAAACTGCTATTGCTTACAATGTTTTAGAAACATTCACTTCAGTGGGGGGTCTGTCTTCTCAGCTAGGCAGGAAACTTGTATTCCTGGGTGTAACAAGTCTTTTTCTGTCCTGCCAGCCAGGACAGAAATTAATTATGAAAGCTCAGCCTATAGTTTAGGCTTGTTCCTAAATAGTTCTTATAACTTAAATTAACCCATTTATGTTAATTTACATTCCATCACATGGTATTGCCTCTTTTCCATCTTGTACCTCCCGTTTCCTCTCCATGTGTTCTGGCTTCTCTTCTCTTCTTCCACGAGTCCTCTCTGTTTGGAAATCCTGCCTATACCCTCTGCCTAGCTATTGGCCACTTAGCTTTTAACTATACTAATCACAGCAATATATTTTTACACAGTGTACAAATATGCCACAACACCAGGTTATAACTAGATGGAAGCACCAGATATATTTCTAAAGTTAAATAGCTGATTATTTACAATTATTTATTTAACACTCAGTAAAAATGTATATAAGCATATATATACGTGTGTGTGTGATTGTGTGTGTGTGAGTGTGTGTGTGTGTGTGTGTGTGTGTGTGTGAGTGTGTGTGTGTGTGTGTGTGTGTGTGTGTGTGTGTGTGTGTGAGTATCAGTCACTATGCTAAAGCTTTACAAGTAATATTGCTCTTAATTTGCTAGGAAGTTCTGAGGCAACATTGCTATTCTAATGACAAAGAATAGGAAACTGAAGTCTGAAGGAAACTAAATACCTTGCCATGGATGAGAGATGCTCAGGTGAAATCTTCACACAGCATGCCTCCACTCTGTGTGGTATTCGTTGTCTAGATGTAGAGATGCAAACACAGGAGCCTGAGGCTGTAAGTAAGGACAAACAGCCACAGGACATCAAGGAAATTCTCTTGTAGAAGTAGCCTTAGGCTTCACAAATTAGTGTTGGCAAAATTCAATGGACAACCAGTTATTGGCCAATGCATTCTTGTGGGATGTAGGAGCGCATCAGTTTTCAGGAACCTTCCTGCTCTGAGGGTCCTTTATGAAGTTACAAAGTTTCTGACTCTAATCTATTGTGCTAGTCATTCATAGACCTTCCCTGGAGCTTTCAAATCCAAATGTTGAAAACCATCTATCCTTGTCTAAATTGGAGAATGACGAGCTGTTGGCACTTGGTTTCCTGTAGGTGGGGATAGGTTTTGAGTAAGAACAAGGTAAGTACAGAGACAATACTCCCTCAGGCAGAGACCTAGTAGCCCACCCTTACTCTTGTTTGGTTGTTTAGTACCTTCTTGAATAAATAAGTAAGGCCATTTGTAGTCTAATAAGTTCTCCTTTTACTTCAGTGGCTCTGGTCATGTTCCTATCAACTCTGATAAGGTCCCCAAGCCACTGATGGATGGGAGTAGGTCGGTCTGGCAGAGCAAATGGCCTAAAGAAATATCAGAAAAAAGCAGGACTGTTGAATGAAAGAAGTCTCAAGAATTTGGTACCTGTTAGATTGTAAGCATCAAGATGGGAAGTTACAGGAGAGGAGGGAGCCTAAACATATAGGGATAAATATGATTATGGGGGCCTAGGCCTCTCAAGAACTTTGGATTTGATCTTCTATATATTCTGTTCATTCTGCAGGATTCTAAACAGAATTAAAAATTGATCTATGATTCGTTGTAACTGAACTTTTTTTTTTTTTTTTGGTCCCAAACTGCCTTCTGAGTGTTGGGATTCCAAGTATGCACCGCCACACTTGGTTGAAAGGTTCCTGACTTGGGACTCAAAAGCCAGTTTCAATGTCCAAGCTCTATAGCAGCATGCTAAATATGTGTGGATTTGTGTTTTGACTTAGTTTTGCAGTGATAAAGTCCTGGACTTTCATCGAATATGAGCTGTTATGAACTACCTATGTATAGGCATTTCCAGGTATAATTGGCTTCCATGCAAATCTCATTTCTTTCCTGTTTTCCTCTTGCAAAAACTACTACGCTGAGAAACACTCTATAGATGTTCAGTTGTACACTGTATTGATGAGTATTTTTTCTTTGGGATCAGGAAAAGATGTGACCTGTATTTTTATAATTTACCGGGGATATTAACTATGACTTCCGTTCAGTTCTTGACTTAGGCAGGCACATCAGTCCTGCAGCTCCCCGGGCGTGGGTGGCAGTGTGTGTGGGGTGTCCTAACAAATAAATCCAAGCATCCTTGCCCTCCCACCTGTAGGTCAGAGTCCGACTACAAATCCCGGAATGCGCCGCGCTCACACCCAGGGTGGGGCGGGCTCTGCAGTGACGTTACCGTACCGAGGCGGGGCAGAGGGGCGGTCCTGGAGGTGCCGGAGCGCCCTGGTGCTGATGCAGGATGGCTGAGTGGGCAGGGGGCCGGGAGGGCTGGGGG